CCTCCTAAATATTACACACTGGATACAAGAGTGATTAATAAAAAAACGTCTACTGCGAAGTGGACTTGAAGTAATTATTGGATCTGTTAAAAAGCACACTGGGAGTATGGCAAGTTATAATTGATGCTGTGGAAATTATTATATTGAATTTATTAAGACAACAGGAAAACACTGGAGCTGTGATTATGTTTTCTAGTTGTACATCTGCATAGTGGCGACCTGATAGGTACAGAGAATTTGAATATCAATAGATGTTTACCTGCTAAAACTAAAGAGTTAGATTTCATTGTTATTACTATTTCATGTTTTCTAATCAGTATGGACACTAAAAGACTATTAGGCATCACATTGTGGGTGTATGATACAATATCAGATCCTGCGGCATGCAGCCAACCAGCATCTTCTCTTTGAATGATCAAATCAGAATTGGTCAGCACTGCCATAACAATAGAGAAAATTCAACAGACAAGATTACCGTGATTTTGTTGCCACGGCAGCGAGGCTGAGCCTGCATGAACATGAAGGCACAAACAACAGAGAGACAGCAGTAACTGGAACGTGTTCAAAACCAGCAAGAGATATGTGACTGCAAAAATGAACGTGTTGTCTTTTATCAATCCTCAATACTATTCAATATATCTGGCTAGGCTTGATTCTAGACTAATATGAGCAAAATAGGAATATGGGAGAAAGGGAAAAAAAACTGATAAAAGGTCTTGTAGGATGCACACAGCAAATGTGGTCATGCCTATTAAAATGTCCTTGGAGTAAACATTGTAGCTGCCTCCCAGGTACAGGGTTAACACTGCTTTTTATGAGTAAAATGCGTAAATGCATCTCAGTGGGAAACAAATGGCAATGTGAAAATGTATGAAATATCATGACTGAATTGTATTATTTATGGACATTTAAAAGATCTTGATGGACACTCTGAGCATTTCATTATTTCTCCAACTTTAATTGAGGAACTATAACTATATCAGAATCAGAATCAGAATCAGAAATACTTTAATAATCCCCGTGGGGAAATTACTTGAAAGGTGGGTACAAGAAACAGGAAAAAACAAGAGGAGGAGGGGGAGGGAAAAAAGCCGCTTTCCCAAACTCTGCTCCATTTAGGGAGTACAGTGTGGGACTGGAAAAACCTCAAGCCAACATAAAGCAACATGTAAGCACACTTTACAACATAAGAACTTTTCAAACAACTTGCAACGGGGGAGGGTGGGAAAGGGGAGTGGGAGGCGCACAGCCACAGACAGGCAGCCGCAGGCGCAGCCATCAGCGCAGCCTGCGCAAGACCCACTTGTCGCCCTGGTAAAAAGCGGCGAAGGCATGGGATTGGGCGGGGCGGGGTACAGGGGTGTGTTGCTATTCACATGTATAAAGATGACCATGGGGTGCGTGTGTGCACATAAGCCTGGAGAGTCAACTTCATCTAGTCTAGTTGCTAGTGCAGGAGCCAAGTGGGTGAGGTCAAGCCAGAGCCAGCATGAAGTAGTTCAGCTATTGTTTTTCATCTTCTACATATTCATGGCACTGCTGGATTGCAAAGGTTGCTGGGGGCTTGGTGCATTGCCACTGCAACTTTAGTGCTATAACATTTTGGGTTCAGAACTGAAGGGGTCATATTAAAATGTTTTTTAAAATGGAGAAAAATGAATATACAGCAGATATTCAGCATGACTTGTCATGACCCTGAAAAAAATCTCCATTCTTTAGGAGCCATAGATGATACTAAAAATACCGCAGCAGATTATCCTGCTCTACAGGGAAGTCAGAGGTCAGTGATAGAACAGCAGCCTTGATTATTATTCTGCGCCTTGTTCAATTACACTTCAGTGAGGAAGCACTTGCTTTCACTTGCTTTTAGCTCTGCTTTTGGTGTCTACCAACTCCTGAGGGAAACACCTGGCTCTTTATGCAAATGCCCCACTATGTTCACCAGCTAGTCACTGACTTTTGGCGATGAACAGGTAGTTAACAGTGGATTTTTAGAGCTTTTCACTGAAAACAGCTCCCTGTTGTGCCTAAAAGCGAAACTATGAGAGCGATGAGAGTGAATCAAAACAGCTCTGTAAAGTTTAGGGGAGCTGATAATTGGGGGGATGATTCTCTGTAGATTCATCACTACAAGATACCCCTTTCACATTGTCATATTATTTTCACATTGTCATATTATTTTCACATTGTCATTGGATACATTGTTATAAAAGTATCGATTAGAAGATTGTTTATGTGGCAGGGTATCGAAGTAATCACAAGAGACACTGATAAACAGAAGCAGTTAAATCAAGAAGGGGACTTTTCAAGAGTGAGCATATAGAGCATAAACATACAGCAAATGGCAAACTATGGCTGCATACTGGCTTGCAGCTTTTTGTTGTCTTGTAATGCTCCAAAGTCAATTAGCAACTCTGTCAGATGAATCTAAACCCATAGGCAAATTGAACATTTGCAGAATATATAATAATAAAAGAAAACATTTTTTTCAAATCACCAAAGCATCAGCTGCTGTATTTGCTGCAAATGAGCCATAGTGATGCTTACTGCCAGAATGTCTTTGAATATCCCAATCTACTATAAACTCAGACATTCACACATACTGTTGAATTTTGACCAAGGGCAACAGAAACTAAATTCCAAACCGAGTTTCATTGCCTCGCTTGGTTCAGCATAGGCAAAGCAATAACAGTTTCATTTGATACACTTGGTCTTATACAAACAAACAATGTGGTATCAGTTTATACTGTGGACCTAAATATTGGATGTATTATCAAAGCTCCATAAAAATCATGTATTATTGAGCATTAAGTGCTAGACTTGAGATAGGAGGAAGATAAGAGCAGCCTCAGACACTGCAGAGTTGGTTCGTGTTCCCTATTGACACTTTTCTGCAAATGGACAGATCGCCTCGAGGCCCAGCTGAAGTGTTTCGGCTGCGCGGATTTCTATTGGAAATCATTCTCCCACTTGTTTCCTCAAGGTATCTGCCCATCAACAACAGAAGCTCTGTGGCCATTCAGAGCTCAGACTCAAAGCCTTTTCTGCCTATTTGGACACATTCAACAAGAAAGCGGGTAAAAGGACACACGAAGACACAAAACAGCCACATTCTGAGAGTACAGAGGATTGCAACCATTTTGGAGATTTGACGAAAATAGGTTTTCTTTGGCAACTACAATGAGTATTGACAGGACAGAGTAGGAAGGGGGTGGAAACCACCAAGTGGTTTTGATGTGTGGACTGAAACCTAAAATCTTCAACTAAAATCACACAGAGGCTGTTGTTTCCTGAGTCGTCGATATGGAAGTAAGTGAAGGTCCACACTAAAATCCTGCGTAATTTCATAAGACTGTCATCTGCTGTGACCTAAAGGACACAGTTTAAATTACGTTTTGGCAAAGAAAATATCATAGATTGTATAAAACATGGATGTAGTCTCTGTGACGTCACCCATAGGTTTCTGAAGAGCTGTTGTGAAGCTCACTGTGGTGGCTCCGGCCATCTCGGCAGTCCTGACTCCAACGGCTCCTGGCTAATCCAACAGTGGGCAATGGCGTGGAGTGTGGGTGGAGCTAAGGCAGGCCGAATGAAGGTTACTGAAAACAGTCACCTGTGACGAGACCCACGTGCCACTCAAAGCAGTCATGCCATTAATCATGCATAACATTAAGCCTTAATACAAGTTAACAGGGTGAGTTATATTGTTGAGTTGTCATGAAAGGGGAAATTAGCTTTAAAGACCAAAACCGTCTTTTGTATGACACTGTAAACAATCAAATAGTCTTTCAAGGGACTGCAGCTCAAAATATAAGCATCAGAAAGCAGTTTCAATAGCAGCATCTTTATCTGGGGGAGAATTAAGCAATCTTAAATGAAACTCTATTTTTCCAAATTGCATACATGTGTCAGGGGTTCATACTGCTCACTGCAAGCAAATAATGTGGTGGGGGCCAGAGTTAAGGGCTATGAGGGGCGGATGAGCCCTGCAGGCTGACCATCTGTACACTAAAAATAACTTAACCTAATGACATTAAATGAGAAATTCACTGGAAGTTTGCAGCATTAGTCCGTGATGTCTAATGTGGTCCAGAAGTTATTTTGTGTCTAACTCTTAAGATTTCTACTCGTATTTCTTTCTCTCAAGTTGCTGTTTGAGAAACCTCAGAGTTCTCTGTGCTGTAATACATGTAGGTACAAAGAGCCGGAACAACGGAGAGAGAACAATGGCTGGGCGTGTCATTCCCACTTACAAAATATCACAAAGAAGCCACAGGGGACTGCTGTATTTCACACACAACTGATGGCAGGGTCACACAGAGTAGAAACTGTGGTCACATTGCATCAGAGTTCATAGAACGGTTTTGTCGATGGAGAAATGTCTGCCTCCTCTATGATTGATTTCTCTTTGATTGTTGAACGCTGCTGTTAAATCGCGAGAGAGACTGAAACCATTGCTGTTTGATTCTCCGAAGCAAGAGTGGACATTTATATAGCATTTTTGGAGGAACAGCTGGTTCTAATTATTCATTTAATTGGTTTCAGTTAATTGGCTCTAGTAAGGGAATTACATTTTCATGGCTAAATATTGCATGTTTGATCACCTTGCACACCAGACAATTGAGAGAGGCACCAAACCTCATCATTTGTTATCTTTTCTTTTCTCATTATACATTACCAACACATAACCCACTAAAGTTCTGACTATAATCCCTGTGGGGGTGTTTCTTTTACATTATACCTTTCCTGGTGTGGAAAAGCTTCAGAAACATAACAAATGTGGTTAACCAGACATTTTCGCTCCATCATCACAAGCATCTGATGTAAGGTGCTGAGTCTGTACTTACTCACAGAAACAGTGTTTACCTTGCCAGGAAGCTTATTCTAAAGAGCGCACTCAAAGAGAGCTGCACAAAGTTTGCACTGTGCAGACAGGCAAGGTAGGTCACTTGTCAAGAGAGGAGAAAGGATTGAGGTGATCGGGGCTGAGTGTATGCTGTGTCTGTCTTTTTATCTGCACAGTGTGTGCAAATAATGGCACTTGAAAGCCTCTCTGTCACCACCTTATCATTTAAACAAAGACTATATGAGGCTGCATCAGACAATAAGAGCATATATACTATAGTCTATTAAGTCAGCAAGCATGAGTCACTGTAAGTGTGGAACAAAGGTATTTAGGTAATAATAGAAAATACATTCTCAGCATTATTTTGAGTTTTTATTTTCCACTAAAAAGGTGAGAGAGCAAGGCTAAATTGTTACAATAAGGAGTGTCAAAATATAACTTTCAATATCAAAAACTTTCACAGCTGTCGCTTTCAAATGTCTTGACTCACATCAATTTGGCACTACTCATATTACACATACTATGAATGTCAAGCCATAAAGATTTCTGTCTGAAAAAATGGTGAGAAAGATTGTCTTGGAAATATGATGGTCAGGGCGGGTTTACAGCCATCCCTGCATCAGAGATCTATTTATCTACTGATCAAGGGTTTTGAACACTCCATGGTCCTGACAATGTTCAACATGTGGTCTAAACTTAAAAGCACCATTCTTTTTGGCTCAATTTTATATGGCTCAGCACACTTTTGTAATACAGAGTCAATGAATCATACTGCAGCTGCCTCCTTCTGGTACTTTCTACTGCCATGTCTTTCAAACTGAAGTGGCAGACACACATTTGTCTCTTCTGTGTGTGTGTGTGTCATAATATATAGCGTACATACCCCAGGAGCCATTCCAGAAAGCAGAAGAATAAAGCCACTCATTGGTCACTTTAGTGAAAAAAATATAGCTCAGTACTCTGTATGAATGTAATGCTTTTTGTGGGGCTTTGTCCAAGAGCACTTAAGAACTGACAGATAATAGTAGTGAAAAGCAGCCCTGGGGGGACAGCAGCTAAAGTGGGACCATTTCTTTTAGTACAGGTGGAAAGTAACCACTTCCCTTTCTGAAAAACATTCACTAACTCATGCTCTACCAGTCAAACCTGGTTGATGCGCTAGTTTTGAGAGTATTTTAAGGTCTTACTGAATTGGGATAAGGAATAGTGCAAGCATGTTTTATTTTCTTCTCAACTGTAATTTTTTATTTCATGTAAATATTAAAGCTGTACTAATCAGTTTTGTATTAACTATGTACCAAATACCTATATTTAATATGAAGGCTGTAGCTCACAGTGATGAACCCACAGAATAATCCCCCAGTCTCTCCCCATAATACAGAGCATTTTTGTGTCTTTCAGTTAATGATTTTGGTTTCACTTTACACTACTGTTTCACTCATCAACCTCTTCTAGCAGCAGCTGGCTAAATTAAACCAGGCTGAACTGGGCTGATGATAAATTCAAATTGCTTTTATTATTCATGTTGACATTTCCATATTGTCACAACAGAATACTGAGAATACTCAGAAGTTGATAACTGCATGAAGGAACTGCCACACAGTATCAGATACTGTATATGTGATCCTCAAATAAGACTGTGTAGTCCATCATAGAGCAATGGGAATGGACAAGGTCTCTCTATGTTGTACACATACAGTAATCACAGTTTTACACTCATTTTCATTTCCAATAAATACGCTGAGACGTTAAAAGGTGCATCATTTTACCATATTGAAATCCACCTTACCAGTGCATAAATACACTCTTGCAAGGAAAATCTGTACCTTCTCTGGACATTTACATATGCTTGATTAGTTACAATACTGTAACTTTACTTTAAAGACACCACAACTAGTGCTTTTATTTTTCCAAGCTCAACAAGAAAACCCTCTAAATCCCAAGATTCCTTCTGCCTTGATAGCATTGAATATTTTAGCATTCTCTGTGGGTGTGTAAAAGTTTAGTGGCTGGATAATGATTTTAAAAAACTGTCTCTCTCTGCTCTTCCAGAACTCCAGCTATGATTGGCTGCTCCTTTGTGGTTGATCGGGAATACTTTGGCGAGATTGGTCTTCTGGATCCTGGCATGGAGGTCTACGGAGGCGAGAACATTGAGCTCGGCATGCGGGTAAGGACCACAGATTGCTTCCCATGCTGCTGTTGAAATGCATTCAAACTGGAAGGAGACTTTGATAAAAAACTTGAAATATAGACTTTTTTTTCTATTTTAAACTGAATTAAAAGTCATTGTGTATAGAAGATGAAATTGCAGGGTGAATTGCTGCAAGAAAAGTTGTTTTTTCATGAGGCATTCCTTCAAAGATGTACAGGAGGGTTTTTTGTGTGCAGTTGTGCACCAGGACGGCCACACAAAAAGTCATAATTACAAATCCAATATTTGACAGGGTAATATTTAGATGTACAGTCCTGCTCGGAATGATTTGTGAAATCTATATTCAGACTTTAGAACAGCTTATGATGAAGTTTTCTTACGTTTTCCAGCTGGAGGGATACAGCTTAAGATACAAAACCCAGGGGCGTCAACAGAAGCCATGATTAAACTTTGCAAAGTTTCTTAGATGGGAGTGGAGGAGGGAAAAAAATCCCCTTAATGCAAATCTTCAGCCAAACCAAAGGCTCTAAAGCCTGTATACGGAAAATGTAAATCTCTTTTGCTGCTGCTTTGAGTTGAATTTAACGCTTCATATGAACGAAGGACTTGCTGAAGAATTGGTTAGCGTTTAAATTCAGAAAATGTTTCTCTCCAGCCAAGTGGAACCATTCTGAATCTAAACGCACTCCTTCAGCTTATTGGAATGAGATATGCTTGAAAGATCTCACTCCTTCATTTAACGTCATCCCCACATCCATTTCAAAATCTCGACACCTCTGAAGTGTCGACCGCCTTTGAAAAAGCACTTGAACGGAGGTCGGAGAATGGATCTTGGTTTACAGATTGCCGCAGTGCTTTATCCAAGCCACAGCCATTTACAGTTGTTGTTGACCATTTCAGAGCCTCTCATTACTCCAGAGTGGCCTTTCTCCTACATCAACAGCATGTGTTTTTTTGTCATAATGACACAATCATCTAGTTTCTCATGTCTTCATCTGATAGTTGTTTTGCCATTATAACAGAGTGATATCATACAGCATTATGCATTATGTGCCAACAGCCAACAGCCTCCCCCAAGGTTACGCAGTGTTTTGTTTTTTCATTCAGTAGAGCTGCTTATGTGTACCTAACAAACCATGCAACTGAGTTAGATGAGGTTTGTGCAGCTAAACAGCAGCTAAATAAAGTTAGGACAACTGTGAACTGTGTGATATAGTGTAACAGTGAACTTCTTTTGGCTCTCGCACAAGCTCCTCATTGACTCTTGTCTTTTTTCATCATGAATATTTACTGTTGCTCTTTGATTCATGAAGTGTAGAGAATATGCCTCTCTGTCTGCAAACACAATGCCATCACAAATGCAATTACCTCTCTTCCTGTTTGGCCCGTCTGTGTGGAAATGAAACACATGCCGCAGAAAAGGGGTTATTCAGCACATGTACAAGCTTGAATAGGTCTGCAGTCAACAACCAGCTTCAACCATTCATATTGTACAGCTGCTAATGGAATAGAGATGGGCTTCTGGCGATTGGACGGCAATTATTCCTCTAAGGCTACATCGGCTCGGGCAGCTCATTGTAGTGCCGGCTGAGGAGTTGCCATTTGGGATCGGCTTGATTGACAAGAACATGTTTAACAATTAGCCAGGGCAGCTCACAATAGCTGAGCCTGCCCAGGACCATCAGACTACAGGGGGCTGATGAAAGGCAGGGTTCACACAGAGAGGTTACTGTGTATTTATAATTTACTGCGAGTCCCGGCTTCTGTAGCTGCTCTGGGTAAGGAGTCTGCCAGGATCCAAAGATCTGGTCTCTCTGTAAGCAGCTAGGATGTGCAGGTCTGATTATACCGCACATAGCACTGCATGTGGTGTTGTTTCCGTGAAGAAGAGAATAAAATAAAACCAAGGGAAGGGGAAAAAAATCAGATTGCATTGAATATTTCTGTTTGTTCGGGTGTGCAGTAATTTACAGGGTAGGATCTGTAAATGAAAGGAAATGAACAGAGAGAGGATAAAACTGCAGAGACAAAGAAAATGGATATGTAAAAGATGCTCCCAGCATGACGTAGTGAAGGGTAGATACATCATCTACAGACACACCACTAATACATGAATTCTCAGCTAGAATGATTTGAAGCCACTTAATCATTGCAAAAGCATATAGAATCAACTGGATGTATTCTTACTGTTAATCGATCAGCGACTAATGCTGCTTAACGCCAGGACACGTCTCCCTTTTGCCACATCTACTAGCAACATAAGAATGTGATAACTTCACCTTTTAAAAAATTGTAAATGGCATGTCTGAACAAGAATGTCCCGCTTGGCACCAGGCTCTGTTTGCAAACAGAGAAAAACTGATGGGAACAGAAATGATGAATTCTGCCAGAAGTGTCAATATGAGTTTATCTTGTAATGCGTCTCCCACTCCTCCTGCTTTGCTGAGTCTTTGCTGATATAGCATCTCAGGAGACCAGGACATTGCCTTTCATTTCAAAATTCCTGTGGGCACAAGTATTATGGTGGGTAACTCTGTCAGCAAATATAATACTACATCAAATCTATCAAGGGTCATCCCCACAGCTGCTGCTCCTGCTAGTTGCACTCAGAGCAAATGTGGAGTGAAACCGTTGTACGCATAGTTCATATTTCATATAGATTAAGGTAAGGGAAAGGCAATCAACGGAGTGTTAAATTTGAATCAGCACATTGATGAGTTAACATTATCTGCTGGGGTTTGACTGATTGTGTTTTCTTAAATGCACGCAGTCACACAATTATAATTGTATAAAAGTTGCTGGGGGGCATCTTTAATATCATCTCATTTTCCAAAGTAGTAAAGTAAATGATTTCCCTAGCCTCTGAAGCAGCATTTAGACCATCTATAAAAACAGGGACGCATACCCTGTTTAAAACTACAATTCATCCTCAAAAATATTCATATACATTTTAATAATTACAAAGACACACAACTATGCATGAACAGGAAGTGCCAGTAATTAGTGGAAGTAAAGGAATGTATGCTTCCATGTATTAATTTGGAGGGTACATTAAGCTAATAACTTACATTATTTATTATGATAATTGTGTTTATTCTACATGTGTTATTTTCTCCAGTAAGTAAATCCGTATCTATCAACGCATGTGCATGTTGAGTCATGACAGTAGCAGAAATATGAAATGAATTGGACATGGTTAAAGTATTTAAATCAATTTCACCTACAATTAACAGTATTGTCTACACAGTTTGAGTCGTCCATTTCACACGCGTCTGACGGAGCAGATACGCTTCTATTTCAATCAATCCAGATGTCTACACATGCTGCATAACATTCTCAGGATTTTTTCTTACATTTTATGTCAGTAACTACTGGGCAACATATTTGTCTGACCCTAGTTTGTATTTTACAGTGACTTATTGTCAAATGCAGTTCAGCCCAAACAGTAACTTAAAAGGCAATCATCACTATCAAAAACCTAAAATCAGCAACATCACAACATTCAGTCATGCTGTTTCTCTAAATACCAACTTTATATGTTGTGTACTAATTTGGTAAATGGGTACTTTCTGCCAGGCAACATGATGATAGTATCTTTTCTGCCAAGAAAGGCCAATCTGAGTCTAGATGGGTTTACCTCACACAATATGCCCATGTGCTAACTTTGCCATCGGGAAACCATCCAAGTTGCTTTTTGAAATCTGTCTCATTTTCATAACAGTCCAGTCAATCAGTCACTTCCAAATCCAAGAAACTCAAGTGTGATCTCATGGGGTGGCCTGCCTGTCTCAGTGACATTTATTAAACTCACCAGGAACTCCTTTCAAGAAGTAATGAACCAAAAAATTATTCTATTTTTTTTTTCATCTTTGAAGTCTCGTCTCCATAACCACCTGGGCTGGACCTCGAGGCATCTGGTCATAATCTCTCTGTAGTGAGGAGAATGGAGCTAATTAAAGTCTAGCAGTACCAGCAGCTAGACAGGAGTGGGACATAATTACACTTCACTTGGTCCCCTCTGCATCCCAAGCAGAGTTATTACAGTGTGATGACAGTTTACAGTACAACAGTTTATTATTTTGGGTTTAGATTAGATTTTTCATCAGTTTTGTGTATCAAATATTTAACAGAAAATGCACCACTATTCATAATTTACAAATTCATTTTAAAAAAAGGGAATAGGTGCATGGCTGGGTCCTGAAGACAACGGGAAGCTTGTTATTGTAATTTGAGTCACAAACACGGTGAGCGGCAGCAATGGCTGTGACACACAGCTCATGGAGCCAGTTATGGTACTTTAAAACCCTTAGTGCCTCCTTCTCTGAGTCAGAGCTCAGACAAATCTGAACACACAGAAATGATGCACACATTTTTAGACTTCCGGAGGACATTCCTATCCCAAATCAAATAAACGTCCATATAACAACTTGGAAAATAGCAACAAAAAGACTCCTTAACTTGCCTGAGAATCATCATATTTTCAAGTTAAGTCTTCAGTATCAATGTAATCCAATGATAGTTGTCTGTACCTCTATGGATACTTTGCCATCAGGAATGCTAATAATTCAGCATACTGGGGCTTAAATTGTAGCCCAGAACTAACTGACTCCATGGCAACGTCCTACTTCCTGCTAACAACCCCCAAACCCACCAGTTATCTTAATTTAGTGTGAAGGGACCCCACAGTGTCAGACTTTGAACCTGCTAGAAATATGCAACAGCTGTGTAAAAGGGTTGTGTGCAGTACATAGACGGTACCAAGCCTTTACCTAAACAGACAAACCCTTCCCTCTTTGCTTTTGTTGACAACAGATGTACTGCATACTCGTTGTGCCTAGCTGGACAGCATCAGATGTTGCTGAAGTTGAGTCCTGTTTTTTTGGACTCTCTTCTATGAACTATTGTGGTAATTAATTCTCATACTCAGTTGCTATGCAGTTTGCTTCAGTTTATTCAAAATCTTTTGCAAATGGAAAAACAATCAGTATTATGATACAGTATGTCATTTAGTTACA